AATGTTTGGTAGAACATTTAAACCACCTGTGCCTGGTTCTGTCTTTCCAGGTGGATTTTTAATTATTAATTCAAATTTCTTAATAGTTATAAGACTATTCAAATGATCTGTTTCATATTGGATGGATTAGGGTAATTTGTGTTTTTCAAGGAATTGGCTAATTTCATCTATGTTGTCAGGTTTATGTGTGTAGAGTTGTTCCCTTATTGTCCTTTTGATGTTTGCAGAGTCTGTAGTGATATCCCGTTTCACTTCTTATATGGGCAATTTGTGGCTTCTCTCTTGTTTTCTTTGCCCATCTTCCTGGATGTTTTTCAATTTTACTTATCTTTTCAAGGAACCATTTCTCATTGCCATTAATTTTTCTTTTTTTCTGACTTATATTTCATTGTTTTATTTTCTTATCCTAATGATTTTCTTTCCTCTACTTGCTTTGGGTTGATTTTGCTTTCTTCTTTCTCTTAAAAATAGATTCTTGGTGTGAGAATTTACATTATTAATTTGAGACATTTCCTTTTTCTGTGTCATCATTTAGGTGCTAAAAACTTTGCTCATAGCATATTTTAACTGTATGCCATACATTTTAACATATACTCATTTTTGTTGAGTTTATATTCTTTTGGATTCTTTTTGACTTATGGATTGTTTCAAAATGTGTTGTTTAATGTCCAAGTGTTTGGATATTTTTCCCATTATCTTTCTGTTATTGATTCTAACTTGAATGCATTGTGGTTACAGAACACACTCTGAATGATTTTAATTATTTTAATTTTACTCGGGTTTGTTTTATGGCTCAGGATTAGGTTCATCATGGGCAATTGAAAGGAATGTGCATTCCACTGTAGTTGGGTAGAGTATTCTGTAAATGTTTTCTAAATCCTGTTGGTGATGGTATTAATGAGTTCTTCTCTATCTTTATGGTTTTCTATTTAGTTCTACTGTCAGTAGTTAAGAAAGTGATGGTGAAATTCTCAACAATTAATAATTACGCATTTGTTCATTTCTCTTTTCGTTCTGTCAATTTCTGTGTCACATATTTTGTAGCTCTTTTGTTTGGTGCATGCATACACATATTTAGGATTTTTGTTTCTTCTTGGTTAATTGATATTTTTATCACTGTAATTTTCTTCTCTCTCTGTGGTAGTTTTTCTTACTCTGAATAGTAATTTATCTGATATTAATATAGCCATTTCTGCTGTTCCTTGATTAATGCTTGCATGATATACTTTTTTCCATATTTTTATTTTCAACCTTCCTATATTATTATATTTGAAGTGAGTTTCATGTAGACAGCATATAGTTGAATCTTTTTTAAAACCCACTCAGCCAGTGTCTATGTTTTCACTGGTGTATTTAGCCCATTTACATGTAATACAATTGTTTATATGTTAGGGCTTAAATATCTCATTTTATTTTTTGTTTTATGCCTGTTCTATGTTTTTATTTTTGCTTTTTTCCTTCCTTCCTTGGCTTACTTTAACATCTTTGGAAATCTATTTTTATTTATCTATAGTGTTTCTGAAAGTCTGTCTCTTTGATAGTTTTCTTTCAGTGGTTGTTCTAGATACAATATATGCACATTCATAACTTATCACAGTCTGCGAGTATCAGAATTTTACCAGTTTGAGTGAAATATGGAAACAACCTTTCTTTATGACACTTTACTTACCTCCTCATTTGTAATATATGTTTAAATATTTCCTCTACATACTTTTAGAAGGACATCAGACAGTGTCATGAAGTTTGATTCAACTGTCAAATGTAAAATTCAAGAGAAGGAATGCTTGTATTTACCTGTGTTGTTGCTTGTTGTGTTCTTTCTTCCTTCCTCTTGCTCAATGGTTTCTTCTTTTATTTCCTTTCTATTTAGAAAAAGTCATTTGGTATTTTTTTTTAAAGAGTTGGTCTTCTGGTTAAAAATGCCCACGTTTTTCCTTTATATCATAATATCTTGATTTCCCTTCATTCCTGAAGGACATTTTCACTGGGTAGCTGGATTGACAGACTGTGGGATTCTGGGTTGACAGTTCTTTTCTTTCAGTACTTGAAAAATGTGCTGTTCCTTTGTGGTCTCTGTGCTTTCTGATGAGAAATCCTCTGTCATTTAAATTATGTTTCCCTTGTAGATATGGTGCTGTCAAGGTTTTTTCTTTATAGGTTTTCAGAAACTTGATTATTATGTGTCTTGGAGGAGATTTAGATTTACTCTGTTTGGGGTATGCTAAGCTTCTTGAATTTTTAGGTTTAATTCTCTTACCAAAATTGAGACTTTTCAGCCATTATTTTTCTAGTACCTTTGCACACCTGTCTTCTTTCTCCTCTCCTTTTGAGACTCTAATAGCATAAATTTTCGATCTTTAGTTATAGCCGCACAGTCCCTGAGGCTTTGTCCTTTTAAAAATTTTTTTCTTTTCACCATTTTCTCTGTTGTTGAGATTAGGTAATTCCTATTGTTCTACCTCCAGTTCACTGATTCTTTCTTCTGTTTCTTCTGCCTTCTTTTATGTACATCCACTGAGATGTTTATTTTTGTTATTATATTTTTCAGTTATAATATTTCCATTTGGTTTTTGTTTATATCATCCCTCTATTTAACAAGACTTTCTGTTTTTTCATTTGTTTCAAGTGTGTTCATAATTGCTCATTGAAACATTATTTATCTAAAGTCAGGGTCTTACTCTGTTGCCAAAAGCTGGAGTGTGGTGGCATGATCACAGCTCGCTGTAGCCTCAAACTCCTGGGCTCAGGTGATCCTCCCACCTGATCCTCTCGGACAGCTGGAAATACAGACACGCTACTACACTTGGCTAATTTTTTTATTTTTTGTAGAGACAAGGTCTACTATGTTGGCTAGACTTGTCTCTTCCCTGTGTTTTCTTTCCTCCAGATCGTACCTTGGAGAGAAGTTCATAGAGCTGTTTAAACCCCCAGATCCATGCATATCTTTGTTTTTTTGTATCCAAGAATACAGTTCCTTTCTGCATCCAGGAAAGCTTAAAAATCTGGGCTGAGGAGTACAGGGGCCTCCTCAGACTGCCCAGTACAGATGATACCTATTAGTTGGTCAACTATTATTATAAAAAGAACTGAGCCATTATCACAGATCCCAGAGTTGACATAGCTTTGACTTTTATTCTCTTTAGATTAAAAAAGTTATTTAACTTGTAATTTAAATTTTAAAAACAATTTAAAAAATAAGTTCCTTTTGTGCCCTTGATTTTCTGTTACCGGATGCATATTAATATTAAACCCATCCATTTTTGGAGGGATATGGTTAAAATATGCTTTTTTCTAAATCCACAATACCAGATATTATATTAACATTTCAAACTTGCTTTCAATTGAGAACACCCCAGGGAATGGAGATAATAGCCACATAAGCACACATTTCTTTTTTTTTTTTGAGTTGGAGTCTCACTCTGTCGCCCAGACTGGAGTACAGTGGCCGCTCCCGGCCACCGCAGCCTCGACCTGCTGGGCTCCGGTGATCCTTCCACCTCAGCCCTTCCGAGTAGCCGGAATTACAGGCACGCGCTACCACGCCTGGCTAATTTTTTGATTTACTGTAGAGATGAGGTCTCGCCTGCCCAGGCGGGCCTCGAACCCGCGGGCTCAGGCAATCCACTCACCTCAGCCTCCCAAAGGCACGGGATTACAGGCTGAGCCACCGAGCCTGGCTGGCACACATTTCATAGAAGGCGTTTTAAGTTGCTTTGGCAAGTGGGATAGGCTTGCTTGTTGTTAAGTACATTTACTCCTAAGTTTGGCAATGGGGCTATGGGGCCAGTTCTCTCTGCAGTTACTTATTATCTAAGTGTTATATTCCAAACAGAGCTTTGTAGAGCAAGTTGAAGCCATCCTACTGGTGACTTTTCCGTCATTTTCACTTTGCCACTCAATGGCTGAAAATGCCATTCAACCTTTTGAGATTTAAGAATCTACCAACTGCTTGAATCTGGCCATCTGAAATATTTTTAAAATGTAGGTTTGCATCTGAAAAGAATATTTAAGTGTGTTTATGAAGGAAGCTTATATCTACTGAGCTCTTCTTTTAATTCCATCCAGAATATGTGGATCCCAGAAAGTTATGGACTTCCTTATACCACACACACACACACACACACACACACACACAGGCACAGAGCCATCCTGATTTCAAGATTTTGGTAATGTGTTTTTGTACAGGGCATAAAAATATATCTCTGTAATTACATGATATTTAGTGATTAGATAATTATGGATAATTGCATGGGGTAGTTCTAAGTGCTAAAGTGTTACCATAAGATCTAAAATGTACAAATTGCATAATAATTATTCTTGGGAGTTATTTGGTAATTCTGAGCATAATTATCATGTGATCCACAGTGCATATAATTAATGCATAATCACATGAATTTTGCCTCCATAACCACTTCACCCTTGTTATAAAGCTCTTTGTCATAACATTTGAGTATAAATATAATGTAATTGGCTCCCAGATACAGTACATTAAGCCCCATGATAATTGCTTTCACAGTTACAATGCCCCTCATTCCATTCCAAATGCTTGGCTCCTAAGCTAGATGGGGTTAGAAAGAACCAACCGCCCAAGATACGGCAGCGGGTAGGCAGAAAAGTGAGTGAATGGTGGGTAACCATGCGCACATTGTGGATGAGGACTGCCTTTGCCGTGACCCAAACCTTTCCGTGTGGAAAAGTTTTCATTTTTCACACTGAACAAAAATCTGTCTACTAACTAATCTCCACTCATATTTGGCGTAAGGCTCCTTGCTACCCAGCGATAGCCAGCACTCATTAAGACTATAATTTTTTAAATGTAGCAGAGTACCAATGATCTTTCTGGTATAGAAATTTCAGAAAGCTGGCATTTCTCTGAGGAGAAGATCTTATTAATAACCCACAGTGAGAGGGAGCCTTGGTTTGCCGATGGCCCCGTTGACTTGATGCTAAAATGCAATTACGTATGAGACTGAAGCAAAAGCTTTGGTTAAACTCTCAAATTGATAATACAGTTTTTGCAACTTTTCTCCACAGGTTTTACATGGCAGGATGATTATACCCAGTATGTGATGGCCCAGGAACTCGCAAACCTCCCCAAAAGCTACCCACGGCATCCTGAAGCTTCAAGCCTAGCCAGGTAAAAGCGGTTTTGGTCTGTCTTTTCCTTGCTTCGAGATTACAGCCTACATCCACTAAGATTAGTGTTTGTTTGCTTAATGTAACAAAGCACCCACCATCTCTCTGGGGTAGAAGTTTCAGAAAGTGGGCAACCCCCTCAGGTCCCTTCCCACTGTGGGAGCTTTTCTGTCCGCTCAATAAATCCTGCTATAAAAAAAAAGAAGAAGTTTCAGAAAGTTAGGATGTCTTTAAGAAAGACATTGGTGTTTCCTTTCTCTACTGCATCCTAGCCCATGAGAGAAAAATATGTTGAAGTAACTTTCCAATTAGGTGCCATTTTCATTGAGAGACATACCCAAGCATCCTCCATTATTTCCATGAGACCCTTGGAAAAATTCTGCATCTTCAGAGGCCTGGCTGAATGCAAGGGAGTCAAGAATTCTCCTTCCTCAGTAAAAAGCTATATTCAATTTAGTATGAAAGCAGAGGTAAATTTTGAAAGTCTTTGTCTTTCCTTTTGCAACGCATAGCAACCTATACTGAGCTCAGTATTCTATTTTATGTCATCTTTTCCCCTCCTCACTGCAAACTATGTGATAATTACTAATGTCATACCCATTTTTGCAAGCGAGGAAGCTGAGATGTCAGGTAGTTAAAAAATTAGTCCAAAGACAAACCACAGAAAGCTGTGTTGTCTGGTTCCTGAGCCATTGCCCTATTTTTCACATTTTAAAAAAATGAAAAGAATCTTTCCCGAGGGTTTAGTTTGAAAAGTTCATTTTTTCCCCAAAAGAGAAAGACTGTTCTAGAATCATAGTCTTTAGTTAGAAAGATTCCAGAAACACAAACATTAAGCTGTCAGCTTTCATGCCCATGTCCATGTCATGGGGAAACAGCTAAGTCACCATGAAGGTCCTTCCAATGTCCTTGCAGGATCAAAAAAGTGAGCATGAGAGAAGATCTGGTAACCATGCCCAGCACTTGGTGCACACTGAGGGCAGGAGTCATGTCTTTATGCTTCTTGTGCCTGATAGTACCTTTAGTACCTTCCACCTTTAGTACCTTCTGTAACAAAGGGAATGTGCTGTTTTAGTCTGTAAGAATTTCGTTTGGGCTGGGCTCCGTGGCTCGGCCTTTAATCCCCGCGCTTTGGGAGGCCGAGGCGAGTGGATTGCCTGAGCCCGTGGGTGCGAGACCCTTCCGTGCAACTTTGCGAGACCCCATCTCTACAAAAAAAAAAAAAAAATGAGCCAGGTGTGGTAGCGCGCGCCTGTAGTTTCAGCTACTTGGAAGGCTG